AGTTCCGACACTGCTACGCCGTGGCTGGTCAAGATGTTGTCCAGCCATGCTTGACACGCACCACCAGATCGGTGGTACAAGCACGGATGTCGATCGTTGTTCGGGACATGGCGCATGTCGAGCCGGAGAGTAAACTGGCGCCACCACGGGATCGGTTCCGTCTTGGACTGATCGCAGAAGACTGGAATGTCATCTAGCTTGGGTGGGCGCCTGGAGGATGCGGCGGCGGGCGTCACGGTGGCAGCCGCCTGGACCTGCGTCTCCAACTGCAAGTTCGTTGCTTGCTGCGACGTCCTGAAGTCCTGATGCACACGCTTGATATTGCCGACGTCGTCCTCCAAGACTTGAACACGGGTCGCAAGGTTTGCAGGCCCTGCGGCTGCTACAGCTGCTGGCGGTTTTTCCAACGCCCGCAGCCGTGCGAGCATCTGGTCCACTGTCTGCTGCGGGTGGAGGATTTCCTCCTGCTGCAGAGCGCAGGTGGCCACGAGGTCGTGGGAGACCTGTGCAAGGGCTGACAGCCCTTTCTCAGTCTCCGGGGCCTCATCTGTAGATGCCAYTTCCACCCAACGTGCGGCCTCATCGCCGATCACGGTCTCCCGTGTGAACAGTCGTTCCCGCTGGCATGACCGGTGTTCAGCTGCCGCCTGCAGGTCTGCCTCCTCTTGACGAAGTCGGTCCTGTTCCTCCTTCTGTCGCTTGACCTCCTCCTCTTGTTCAAGCTGCTGACGTTCCTTGGCCGCGGCGGCGGCCCTATCGTTGGCCTCTTGAATGAATGCCGCCAGGCGTTCCTCATAGCTCAGGAGGGATTCCCCCGCCTTCCGGTCCATGGCCTTGGTYTGTGATCGAGTGAGCAGTGTCATGCACTGCTGTGCCCGAAGTCTGAAGAGTCACTCGAGGGCCAATCTGACGGACTGGCCCAGTGCCCGGACTGGAGGGGGAGGAACAGGTASGGGRCAGACAGGTGGGAAGGGTCGGACAGATCCCAAATTGAACAGTTCCCTAATCAAGCAAAGAATAATAATTAAGAAAGAATTTAAATAAATCAAAATTCGAAAAGAAAAGACTGTCCAATACCACTGAGTGCCGAAGGGGATGCAGAAGCAATACTAACCCTTCGGTGCTCAAACTGGCAGAAACAGAAGAGAAGTATCTTTACAGCTCAGAGTAGGAGTAGGTTGCAAAAGAAAAAAAATGCCGTTTTTTTTGTTTTTTTTTTTGAAAAAAAAAAGAACGGAATTTGCAAACCTACGCAGTGAAAGTGTAGAGGGACATTATCGGAAAAAAAAAATCCAATTTGTCAACTGCAGACATTTAACAATTAAATAAGGTAATAAAAAGAATTTCTCGGAAAAAGAATTCTCAGAACGAATTTCGAAAAAAAGAAATAATTTCTTGAAAAGAATTTTCTCGGAAAAGAAATAATTGCTCGGAAAAAAAATTCTCGAAAAAAGAAATAATAATTAATTCCGGGAATTTCCAAGATTTAAATAAACAATTGCCAGATAATCAATCAACCTAATTAATCAATCAATCAATCAATCAATCAATCAATCAATCAATCAATCAATCAATCCCAGATGATTGCTGGTTGATTGACTGATCAATCAATCGAAGTTTGATTGGTGGCAAACCGCCAATCCAATCAATCAATCGATTGATTGGTTGTTGCCAAGATTCATCGCACAAGCTCCGATACCACTTGTAGCATATCAGAAAGTGAAATGCACTAACAGCCTAGGATCTAGCAATGATGAAAGTGGCAACAACCAGCAGCATAGATGCAACATTCACCAGATGCCAATGTGTACAATGCAACAAGTAAACCAACGAGAAAAACAACAACAACACATTTGCATCATCATCATCATGGGCTGGGGAACAGCGCAGCGGAATAATAGTAACCAAGAGGACACGTGGACAACAACAGGAAAGGGAGAAACTTCGGAAGGGCAGGACATTAGAAAGATTGCCCTTCCGCTCACACACATAGGGAGAGATCCATAGACATGCGAGAGAGAAGGGGGGGAGGGACATAGGAGGTAACCAAGTCCAACCCAAGTCTGATCTCCGAATGTCGTGCACAGTTCAATCCCAATGTAGCGTGTAAGTCCGGTCTGAATGTCGTGTCCCAATAAGGCAGAATGCCGTGTCCAAACAATGTCTGCAGTCACCTCTATCTCTACTCTGATCAGGACGAAGAAGAAGAAGAAGAAGAAGTAGAGGAAAGAACTGTGGAGGAGTAGGAGGAGAAGAGGAGAGGAGGAGAAGAAGAAGAAGAAGAAGAAGAAGAGGTAGAAAGCTAGGCGCTTTCTGCACTTACCTGGCGATGGCTGAACTGCAGAT